ATTTCCAGATATGGCCTCTCAGATTTAAGTTTTCAAGAATTTTGGACAAAGCCTGGTCCTATGTTTTTGCACCTTTGGAAATGAGCTAGTCAACAGTTGTTTCAATAAGTATGCTCTGGAAAATCAAAATGCCCTTTTAAAATTAATGTAATCTCCAATTATCATATTACCTCAGGGAGGGAGGCCTGGTGGTACTTAATAGAGCTCTTTGGGGCTGTTGTGCATTTTAATTGAGTGAATAGTTAGACACTTCAGGGCCTTTTGGTAAAAGGCTCTGTATAAACAGTGTCATAATGCTGAATAATCAGGTTGCGATATGAACTGGAATAAATGAACCCTATAAATATATATATAATTTATATATACATGTCATGTGTGTGTATACCAACCTTTTGGAGAGAACAAGGCAGTTAGTTACTTTTTATAAAAGTCCTACAGTTCTTGAATAAGACGAAACCTGAGATTGGATAGCAATAATCATAACAATCAGTATGTTAGTTTTCAAGATATTGTGAACCTGCAGTTTATTCCCCTGATAGAGAATTGCCAGAAACATTGATGGTGTTACCACTGCAGTGATAGTTCTTGAGAAACAACAAAATATGTTGTGTTCTATGGTGGATGAACATGGAGGAGGTAGATGCAAGGTATGAAATGTTTGGATGTCTAATGATGTAGGTAGACATGGTTTGAAGGAACCAAGGGAGTTTCACTTCAGACAGCTTTGCCAGGGTATTGCTGCAATGCAGTGGTAGGGTTTGGAATGGAGCAAACATCTCCTGCAGCCTAAGTCAGTGCAATGAGAATGACAGCAATGGTGACCATGGCACACCAGCCTCAGCGGCAGGAGCAGTGCTAGGACTGTAGCTGATCTGCTCTGTTACTCTGTGTGAGATATGGTTTAGTGGTGGACAGGTACTGTTGGATTCTATGATCTCAAAGGTCTTTTCCAACTAAATCTATTCTATGATTCCATGATCCATCAGTAGCAACTCTGTTTCTTCTGAATGCTTTGGCTGTCTGATCTCTTAAGACTATAATTTTCTGGGGCAGCGACTCTCTTTTTCTGTGCTTGTACGAGGAGGAATGCCTCTGAAATGGAGATGATGGAGATGAGCTTTTATAATTCCTGAAAAAAAAAAAAAAAAGAGGCTATGCTGAGCAACGTGGTGCTAGTAGAGAGAATTCTGTGTTCTTAAAAGGGACTTGACACATTGATGAAGCCACTTCACTTAGTTAATGAAAGGAGCCGTCTAATACAAGCTAAATGCAAAACTACATAGAGGAAACTGGCATTTGAATGGCTTGAGTGCTTGAAATATAAATGAATGGGACAAGACCAGACTCTGTTTCTAAAGGAATCAATTACTAGGCATCTTCTCACTACTGCAAAGCTCTCGTTTGCAGGAACAGTCAAAGCTATTTTTGCTGGGAACTCCGATATTCATTGCTTGAGATTAAGCATATTTTTTAAGCAGCAAGGAGACACTGAGGAATGCTGTGGATTCAAGAGGGGTAGAAAGACTCTGAAATAATTTTCCTTGGTAAACTCACTGAAGAGTCTAATGGAGTTTTGGGCACAATTTGAGTTCTATAGGGTTGTACCCACAGCCAGAATGGTTTGACAAAGTGATCCATTGTGCATTGAATCTACAGATTCAAACAGTGTAGAAAATATGTGGGTTATTCAGCATCTTAGAATAGGAATTAGGTTGGACTAAAGTTTCCTTTCTCTTCTCAGCTGTAGAAAAATAAGGATCTGTAAAAGAAAATGTCTTGAGTGAAGGCTAATGGAATATACTGTTTGCCAATGAATTTTTTACGTCTGGAAGGTTCTCCAGTGGCCTATATGAGCTGGTAGCTGAGGGTTTTTCCAATAGGATAAGTGTCTGAGCTACCATAGAAAGCACAAAATACCCTTTTTTTAGCATCTTACTAAAATCTTGGAGACATGTCAAGGACTAACTTTGCTGTGGAGACCACACAACCTTTTCCCACCCAAAGATAGTCCTTCCAGGTGAAGCCTTTTAACAGGGTAGTGCGAGGAAGCTTGCTGCATTTCTTCTGAGGACGAGTTTCTTTCACATGACCATGACTTTGTCATTTTTCCAAAGCTTCCAGATTCATCTTAATTCATCCAGAAACATCTTAATGCTACTGATATCTGATACCTATAGCTTCCCTTCCCATCTGCCAGGGATTTCATGCTTGTGATGAAACAGCTTTAATATTGTAAAGACAGACAAAACGTAGCCTAAAATCACAATGATCAAATACTGTGGCTGATACATGGGAATTATTTTTTTTGTCGAAAAATAAAGAATGGTTGTGTCAGAATATTACGGTATTAAAGATCAATTATATTTCCAATGAAATAACAACAGGCATCAATTGATGTGGGCTCTTCTCTTGCATGGTGTGGTTACCCTTCAGTTGCTCTCTGTTTCCCCTTATTGGGTTCATCTCTGTTTTTTTATTGCTTTCTTTTGGGCATACTTGGTAAAGAAAAAGTATTTTGAGAAAATTTCATCAAGTAACATGTGCTGCACTGATGTCAGCTGAGGAAATCAGCGTCAAGGGCAGGAAAAGCCAGAAGATTAATGGATCTCTTAGTTCAAAATAGGAAACAGCTTGAATTTCCTTTGGGAGGAAACAGAAACCTCATTCATTCACAATGACATTATTTCACCTCTGGTACAGAGTGAGGATTCTGTTCTCCCCATGATGGACAGACACATCTCACATTCATGCAAATGATGCTGAGCATTCATGGATACAAAGGAACAGCCCTAAAATATTGATAGTTTTGACTGGTGAGCTGTTCTCCGGATCCATCTGTGGCTGAGACATATGGCACAGAGAAAAATGCATTATTTGTGTTCCCAAATTGATTTTGGTCTGTGTAAGGTATGTATGTCTCCTTGTGTTCATCTGAGTGGATCTCAAAGAAAATCCACGTCACTAAAGTGAAGGATCTTGCCTCGATGATGCAATATTCATTTTTCACACTTTGATATGACAATCGTATCTGATCAAGCACTCATTTATTTTGTGCAGGATTTATCCATCAGGTGTTTATGAGTTTCTTGAGTTTTTTCTGGTGTTTTATAGCAGTGTACATCCATCTGCTTGTTCAGAGTCATGTACACAGATTTTTGTGGGGTTTTTTTCCCAGTCAAACTAAGAGTAGGAGTTTGTGGTATCCTCTTAAGAACATCTCCAATATAAAATGGTCAGCAGGAGGTTTCCCAAGTGCATTTATTTTCTGTTCCATTACTCCGAGTACCTTCCCTGTTTTCCCTTGGGGCTCAGAGCTGCAGCTAGCAGCCTGCCTCCTACCTCATGCTATTCTGAAATGTCTTTATTTATCTTAGACTCTGTCATTTTGACTAAACATTGGTATTTTCCAGAAATCAGCTTTTCAAGTAGAGATGCCTGGTAACTTTCTGAAGTTATATGCCAGTGAATCACAGAATTGTTTAGTTTAGCTAGAGAAGTGCTACAGTGATATATGAAAATTATTTTCTTCTTCAGAGTCATGTTTATGTTCTTTTCCAATGAGCTGGCTGTTTTATTGCGAAAGAATCTGTAAAAGAGGTAATTTTAAATAGTCACAAAATAAATTCTGTTCTGTAAGGTGCCCATAACCTTTCTAGAAGACCCTAATTAACCTCCTTATATCAGCAGAGGAAGCTCTATTGCATTTGTAATTGTCAAACTTTTCTTTTTTTTTTTTTTTTCAATAGAAATTCTCCCTTTCTGATACCTACAGGCATCATCATTCACAAAGCAAGCTTTTCATTTCAGGATATTAGAAACAACAGTAGATTAACTGAAGTCCAAAGTTCAGCAGTGCAGAACTTCCATCTGTTATCCTGCTTGTCCGTAAAGATTATGCCCTAATAACAAGTGAGTGATATAAAAGCCTTTAGTGAATAAAGTCCAGTCATTATCAGGTTGACTCCCTGTGCTGCTGTAATCTTGAATTACTGCTGGACCATGGAGCAGCAGTGACAAAGGTACCAAGTCTTAGGGGAGATGCTGGTTTATGACTTGGTTGTGATCCAGATTCAACGTAACCATGTGCACATCTCAGAGGGCACAGCACTGACTTTAGGACGTGACTCTGATGGCCAGATCCAGGTGTCGCTTTATCTCATATCTGTGAATCAAACTGCAAATGTTCATTAGTGAAAATTGAATTAAGTCCTCCAACAGAAAACCGCAAATTATCTGGCCATGTTTGTATTACAGTGGATCATTGTGATAACATTGTCATGAGTTTTCCAAAAGAAATCAGAAACACTACGTGCTTGCACAGCAGGGCCAAATCCTGCTCTCAGCAGTGTGAATTCCAAATAAAGGTATTTTCAGTAGTGTCTTTACAGTCATCTTGATTGAAAATAAGAACTGTATTTGCTTTAATCATGCAGTTCCCAAGCTAGACTCTGATGAATTGTAGAGGCAGGTCTTATCAAGTAACTTGGTATTCTTCTCCATTTTTTTTTTCCCTGAAAAGAGGAGGAAGTTTGGCATACTGCAGAGCAAGATGAATAAATTTGCCATTTGAGGATGAATTTTCCAACAAGGGTTAGGATGTTTTGCAGTCCTGCAAATTCAAGAGTCCTCCTTGCAAACCCAGTATTTCTTTAGGCTCATGATCAAAAGTTGCTCTATAACTACAGATGAAAAAGAGAGAGAAGGAATTCCAAAGGTGAACACTTCCAGTCCTTAACAATAGCTAGAAATTTAAGTGGAAATTATCGAAATTCCCTTACTCATAGTCAGAAATTATTAAATGTTTTTGGCACAATTTCACAGTGAATTGCTATTTCTCAATCCTGTGTTAAAGGGTTAAAAAACAATGAACACAATCTTCTTATTAGTGCACAGATGTGCTAAAAGGTCACCAGCATGACAGGAGAGAGATGTTTTCATCTGATAATGCTACCTCTTTTTTTTTCTTTGTTTTTTTTTGTCTCTGTGTATTTTTCTTCTAGTTATCCATTTCCCATGGTGTTCAGTAGCTGCAGTAGAAAGGACCTGGAAAACAGCCTGGAAAAAGGAGTGGGAATGTGTCTGTTTAACTTGCCTGAAGTCAAGGAGTCCTTTGGTGGGCAGAAGTGTGGGAATGGCTACGTGGAGGATGGAGAGGAGTGTGACTGCGGGGAGCCTGATGTAAGACACCACCTGAGAATTACTGCTCACCTCCTGTTTGCAGGTTTTTGACACTAAAGACGAATCAGAATTGGTTTGGCATGTTTAATGCTACTTGGTGTGTAACAAAACTGCTTCTGTCTTATCAGCTTAAACCTCAGAGTCCTCAGAAATGGGGGAAGTTTCTGCCTGACTTGCCTTTGAGTTGCTAAACTTCAGGCAGGGCTTTAGTTAAGAATGTGCTTGGTTTGCCATTAGAATAGAATCATAGACTCATGGAATGGCCTGGGTTGGAAGGGACCTTAAAGCTCATCCAGTTCCAACCCCCCTGCCATCAGCAGGGACACCTTCCACTAGACCAGGTTGCTCAAAGCCTCATCCAACCTGGCCTTGAACACTTCCAGGGAGGAGCAGCCACAGCTTCTCTGGGAATTAGGGAACAAACTCTCTCATGGCTTGTCCAACAGATTAACCATGACTAACTGTCATGTTCCTAAGACATAAATAAATTCCTTTAAGTACTATCTAATAAGGTAAACTCAAAATAAATTTGTTAACATTGCTCAAATTTCTCAAGATACCATGCGTTAATTGAAGGTTTGTTTCCATATATGAGAAGCCACTCATTTATTTATATTAATATAAATGGTTATATAAACATTAATATATCCTAGGTATTTTTGTTGCAGCCAGCTTCAGTTTTTAGGCACAAGACCTTTCCCTCCTTTACTACAAGATTTTTCTTTGCTGCTAGCCATTACCTTATGAACAGAAATAGCCTTTACTGCCTCCCAAAAAGATTGCTACTACTTCAAAGATCATTCCATTTGGTTTAGTGAACGTGTCAGAGGACTGCTTAGATCAGGAGGAGATAGACAAAACCTGGGGGTCAAATAATATCCGAGCGAGCATCCTTATCCCTTTGGCTTCCCTTGCTCATTGGTCTATTGAACTTCTCTCCAATTATCTGAATTAAATACATCAGCAGATGAGGGATTTGTTTCCTGTGATAAACATGGTTCTGCGGACAAAATAGACTGGGGCAGTTAAAACAGTGAGATATTGCTGTATCCTCTCCATACAGTGTATTGGATTTACACAAGGCATAAGGATTTCCTGACAGTTCACTCGTTCTTCAGGGTAACAAGGTTGGAGGAAGCTGGCTTATCTTCTTGTTTAAAGTCAATAGAGTGCAAGCAGCTTGCAAATGTCTTTCTAACCCAGTTATCTTTCTCATTTTCACTTTTGAATGTTAGCGATACCTTTTCAAGTCAAAGCCACTTCACATCAGCAAGAACTGACTTGATTTGCCTCTTTTTTTTGTGTTTTCCCCTTTTAATTATATTGGAAAACTGCAGCTTGGACCCAATTACATTAATCTGGAATTTACTGCTATAATCTGAGTGGTATCAGAAAACATGTTAGATTAGTTAATAATTCAGTGCCCAGTCGTTTATACTACCTGAGTTTTGTCAATAGTGTTGCAATATTTTATGGCATGGAAAGCTGTACAGTAACGTGCTAGTTGTATTTCATCAGTGATCAGAATTAAATATCAGTCTGAATATGCAGATTTAGGTGGTTGGTAAGGATATTTTTTCTTTAAGTAAAATATTAGCCCCATGTTGAGATCTGTGCTCATGGACATTCCTTAACAGTAGGACAGCAATGGATTGGTAAGGTTGGAGAGTCGTGACTGTTGCACATGTCCCATTCTTCAGACAACTCTGGAAACACTAATGCAGTAGGGACACTAATGCAGTAGGAACTGTTTGACCACCTCCCTCCACACGATGGTCTCATGTCTGTGAGACGCTGGTCATCTTGAGTACAATGAATGCTGACATGCCCACCACCAGGCCAAGAGTGTAAGACCTGACCAAGGATGATATTACTAATTCAGCTCCAACTTCATGTTAGATTATATTACGAAAAATGTCTGACATGCTACAGTGTCTCTGCAAGGAGGGTTAATGTAGAATACGCATGCAAAGATAGAAGGAAAAAAACCAAATTAAAAAAAAATAAAATCCTTGGTCCTTGAGAAGTGAAAGGTGACAAATGTGCCTAATTTTACTACAGGCTGCAAAGGGGATCAAAAAAACTTCAAATGGGTAAATCAGAAGTCAGACAAATTACTTCCAAATGTAATTAAGAGCTAGTACCTGAACAGCTGTGACATGCCAGGGATGAGTCAACACCGCTTTTGTGCCAGGAAAGCTTGTCTTACAAACCTATCACAGTGATCTGAAGGACTTAATAAGTGGATGGAAAGGGATGATGCTCTTAGTGCAGCCTTTTAGGAGTTCAGAGAGGCTTTAGTCCAAAGCCTTTCAGCAAAGCCTCTTTAGGAAACCAAGCAGCTGTAGGATGAGAGAATATTGCATGGGCAAAAATTGGTTTAAAAGATAGGAAATACAACCAGGTATAAATCATCTGGTTTATGCAGTGGAAGGAGATCTGCTGTGATGTATCCATGAGATGTGTCCTGGGGACTACACAATTCAGCGTATTCATAAACAACCTGGGAAAAGGAATAGTCTTGAATTTGCTGATGATATTAGTTAGGGTGGTAGAGATGAAAGCTGACTGTGAAGAACTGCAGAGGAACCTTCTGAGACAGCTGGACTGGGTGTTAAGGTGACAAATGGCATTCCGTGCAGAGTGATGCACATTCCAAACATCACATATAAGATGATGGACTCTGAGCTGACTCTGACCATAGAGGAACAAGACTTCACATGGCAATAAATAGTCTCATGAAAATGTCAGCTCAGTGCTCGAGTGGTCTAAAAAGTAAATAGGCTGTTAGAAATTACTAGGGAAGAAATAGGAAAACAAAACAAAGCACCAGTAAGCTTCCATAAATCTGCAGCGTGCTGTGTCTGAAACTGCATGTGCAGTTTTTTCCTACCCCTCCCTGATCTCAGGAAGGATAAAGCAGAATGTAAAAGGTTGAAAGAAAAGCAATAAGGTTGTTCAAAGTTTTGGAGGGGTTCTGGAAGGAAAAGGCGAAAGAAGCTGATAAAATTGTGAGTGAAATGGAGGGGAGCGATTGCCCCCTGACAAGAGCTGCAGAAATGAAGTTGGGAAATGGCAGATTTCAAACAAGCAGAAGGAGCTGCTCCCCCAGACTTTGTCAGTTATTTGTGAGTTCCATTCCACTGAACGTTACAGGTGCTAAAAATGCCCGTGGAGCCAAGGGAAAGCCAGGGGACTGGGGAGGTACCGTGTATGTGTGTTCACATTCTCATCCTTAAACACTTTCTGCTGGCTGCTGTCAGGGGGACACAAGGCTAGAAAGGTTGTAGGCTGACCCAACGTGGTCTATCTTGTGTTCTTAGAAAAGAGGGGGTGAAAACAGGATGTCCTGTCTACAGCATCTGTTATCATGTAGGTGATGCTAGAATAGCTGTTGCATTGGTCTGTTTGAGATGCTCTGATGAGCCCAGGAGATGTACACCAAGAAACCCAACTCCCATCATTGCTGTTGTCACTAATAATAGCTAATAATAATCAACTGTAACACAGCAGTAGTTTTGGGTGGCAGCATCCAAAAGCCTTGTGAGCCTTTTCTCTTTACTTGCCTGTTTATGTTAAAACCATTCCTGACAATTTAATAGCCCAGGAACAAAAACTATTTACCAAGCTCATTCTCTACAATGAGTGAGTAAGCAACTGGAAATTTCAAAGGCTCCAGTAACA